CAGCCTGCCCCCAAGCCCAAGCAGTGGCGCTGCTGCCTGCTGTGAGCGCCGCGCGCGGGGGACAGGGGGTCCAGCTCAGTGCAAGGGGTGCTCCATTGCTGCCCCCCCTAACCCCCCAACAAAGGTGCCCGCTGCCCCCCAGCCCTGCCTTGTTGCTTCTCTGTGGGGAGCCGGGCATGGGGAGGCACCGCCAGGGTTGCCTGCCCCACAGCAGGGCCTCCTGGCTACAAGGGGGCACCCGCTGCCCGCTTCTGCCTGTTCTTGCCTGCACTGGGGCGTCCCCACAGCTCTTAGCCCTTCTGTCCTGCTTACTGTGGGCAGAGCCAGGCGCTGCCCCCAGTTTGGGAGCAGCAGGATGGGCCTGGGGGGTCCCCCTGCGTGATGGTCGCTCCACAGCCCTGTKCACGGGCTGGGTGCCCAGCCCGGCCGGGGCAGGGGGGCTGTGCTCGCTCCCCCCGCCCCGAGGAGGGGTGCGCGTGGGGACACTGCTTGGTGCCTTGTGTCTGTGTCTCTCCCTCCCGGCTGCCTCCGCTCGTGCCTGCGCCCCTCCTCCTGCGTCCCTCCCGCCGCAGACCCCGCCTGCCTTCCCCGCTGCCTCCCCTGCAGGTAACGCCGCGGCGCGGGCGGCCGCGCTGCCCCGCCGCCCGCGCTCAGCCCGCCGTGCTTGCAGGGCCCTGCCGCCTGCCGCGTGGGCCRCGCTGCCCCTGGAGCCCTGGCTGCTCCTGCCCTGGCCGCTGCCCGCGTGGGGCCGCCCCTGGCGCAGGGACTCGCTTTGTCCCTTGGCCCTGGGGCTCCCACGCGAGGTGAGGGCCCAGCCCCGCTTGCAGGTAGGGCCCAGCTGCCTGCGTGCCTTGGCTCTCCCTCCTCCTCCTCTTCCTCTTCCTGCTCCTGGCCCTTCCTCCGCTGCCCCGGGTGGGCTGGGCGCCGGGCCCGGCGCACGGCGCTGCCCCGTTTCACGCGGCACCTTGTGTCCCCCCCCTCTGCTTGTCTCCCCAGGTGTGTTCTGAGGCTGCTGCRCCCGGGGGAGCCGCGCACGCCCGCTCGCCCACGGAGCCTCTCCGAGCCAGGACTCCGCTTTGCCCCTGCACGGCCACCCCCACCGCCCCCCTGCCGCCCCCAGCTCCCGCTGCCCCCGCGGGGTGGGGGGGACTGGCCTCCTGGCCCAGAGATGCCCGTGGGCTTGGCGGGGGGCGAGCAGGCGTGCCCGGGGCCCCCCGGGGCAGGAGGGGCCGGGGGCTCGGCGGGGCCARGGGGGCGCGCAGGGGGTGGCTCTAGCTTAGATCCCGTAGCTGCTGTGGGCCCCGGGGCGGGAGGGTAGGGGGAGAAGGGAGGGTCAGGGGAGGGCTGGGGGGCTAGCGAGGGGCAGCAGCTTTGGGCCTCGGCCCCTTCCCGCGCTGGCCCCCCCACTGCCCTCCAGCCCTGTAGCTGTACCAGTCAATAAACCCRTTTGCAGGAGCTGCTGCATGCAGGTGTCTGTGGGCTGGGGGGGGTCTGCGCTGCCAGGGAGGGGTCTGCGCTGCTGGGGGGGCATTGCACTGAGCCCAGGGTGCGGTGCAGGGGCTGCGCCCCACGGGACGGGGACCCTGGCCCCCCCTCTCCCCACACAGATAGAGGCCAGGCCTGGCTGCAGCTGCACGAACGCGACACGAGAACTTTATTCACATCAAGATACAAAATTATATTTCTCTAGAAATTTCTCTTCTGCTCRAGTGACGAGGCTGGGTGACACGGAGGGGCTGGGCAGGGGGGGCTGTGGGCTGGGCCAGGGCACCCTGCACGCAGCCGCTGTCCACGGGGGGCCTTGCTCTGCCCCCTCTCCCTGCGCCCCGGCGTAGGGGCAGGGAGGGACAGGGCAGCGTGCGGGGTGGCAGGGGGGCCCAGCCGCCACCAGCCCCCTCCCGTTCTGCAGGGCCGGGTCAGGCCAGCCCGGGGCTGGGCCAGGAGCCTGCCCCGGGGGCCAGGGGACAGCGCCAGCAGCACAGACAGCGATGCACAGGGCGAGGAGAGCGCGCGAAGCCAGAGGGTGGCAGGGGGCTGCGGGCAGACGGAAGGACGGGGGGSACGGGGGTCCGCTCCATCACTGGGGCAGCGCCTTCAGGATGGCGTTCACCTCCTCGGCCACGGCGGTGAGCGCAAACTCAAACTGGTCCTGGGAGGGGAGCGCAGCGTGGGGCCCGGGAGCTCCGCTCGCCGCGGGCACGCGCCGGAGGGACACGGGGGTTACCTTGGTCTGCACCATGCCGGGCCGCTGGTCGCGGATGTGCTCCAGCGTGGCAGCTATGTCAATCTCCTTCACACCTAGGTGGCATTAGGGCTGGGGGTGAGCACTGTGCCGGCGGGGACAACGACAAGGACACGTCCTGGGAAGCAGGGATGGGCTGGAGCGGTGCCCCGCGGCACCACGCTCACCTTTGGCCATGCGGTTGAGGACCATGTCAACGAGGATGTAGGTGCCGGTCCTGCCTGCGCCGTCGCTGCAAGACACGGGCACTGCTGGAGGGAGCACGCGGGGGCTCCCAGCAGCAGGGAGACCCCTGCCATGCACCCCCCGGCGGGCGCAGAGCCCCGCGGCCCCTGCGGTACCTGCAGTGCACGATGATGGGGCAGGAGCGACCGCGGTAGCACTTGTTCACCTTCCTGCAAGGACAAGGGGGCAGGTCAGCACACGGCCCGTGCCCTGCGGTGCCAGGAAGGGCCGGCAGCRGGACGTGGGAGCCCCCACGGAGAAGGGCCCAGTGCAGGTGGAGGAGCCGGGCTGAAGACTCGAGAGGTCCGTGGCACGCGCCCGGGCGGGCTGGCTGCAGCAGGCACGGCTGCCAACGATCACTTTTGTGACTATGCAACTGGAGMCAGATTACTAGCTGCAAATCACAAAAATGACGCCGGCAGCTGCGAGGGCGAGGCRGAGAGAGACGCAGAGCGGCGCGATGGAGGCCCCGCGGTGCCCTAGCATGTGCGGCTGGCCTCCCAGGGGCACACAGCCCCCTGGCACCACCGCAAGCAAGGGGCCCTCCAGGACCGCAKGCCCCATGGCCATGGCCTGGCTCCTGCTCCTTGTCATGGGGAGCACAGCCAGCGTTGCAGTGTGCACAGCAACGGGAGCCACCCCTCAGATCTGCTGCTGGGGGCTCCTGCCGGGCTGCCCCCGAGCCCAGCAGCCTCCACCTGCCCCGGCCGGAGGCCGCCAAGGCCCCCAGGCTGCTCCTTCCCTCCGTGGTGTCCCCGAGTCCCCTGGCCCACGGTCCTGTGGCGCCGGCGGGGCCGCCCACCTGCGGAAGTCGAGGAGCGGCCGCGTGGTGGCCGGGATGCCCTCGGCCGGCCAGCTGAGGAAGTGGAACTGTGTGAGCGTGCGCGTCTCCTGCGACTGCACGTTCTTCAGGTAGAAGCTGCGCACCAGGAAGTCCTCGCACCAGATGTGCTCCGAGACCAGGTTCACCTGCCCGAGAGAGGCCCGGCGGGGTCAGCGGGGCCGGCGCCGCCCGGGGTGGCCGCCCGCGGGCCCGCGCTTGCCTCGTAGATGTGGTACAGCGAGGAGCCCTCGTCCGGCCAGTAGCGGTCACACTGCTTGACGCTGTCCTCGGCCAGCGGGCTCAGCATGACGATGACGGTGCAGCCGTGCTCCCACACCATCTGCGCGGCAGGCGGCGTGGCCGTCAGCGCCGGGGCGCCCCGGCTGCGCCGCGGGAGCGGGGCCGCGCACGCATCGCGCTCCCAAATGGAACCTGCCAGAATGCTCAGCTCTGGATTGCTGCCAAACCCAGCCTAATTCCCGCACGGCGCTCAGGGG